CAGATTGACCCCCCCCCCCCCAAACTAATTCACTGTATTGCTTGTGTTTAAGAAAAAACACAGAGTAAGAGGGGAAAAAAATGCTGCTTACCTTGAGGTCCTGCTCAGCCTTCAGGGCAGCCTGCGTGCCCCTGGGCGGCATGGGTGGCCCACCGGGTCCCCGGGGAGGAGGGTGCTGAGCGTGGTGGGGATGCTGAGGCCTGGGGTGGGGCATGAGGCCGCTGCCGCTGCCCATTCCCATGCCCACCCCCACATTGGGGGTCATGGGCGGGCCCATGGGCGAGCGCTGCATGCCGCCGCCGAACGAGTTAGTATGAGGCGCCCGCACGAGGGGGGACACCATGTTGGCTTGAGACAGCAGCTGCGAGTACACAAGTGAAAGACTCCACTTTAGAGAACAAGGGTAGTAACGTGACAAGAGGCCATTTTGACTTGAAATCATTTTAGCCTGACTCCCAGGGGGCCACTCAAAGACCACATTTTGTCTTTGAGAATTTGTGTGTTTACTACTAAATGCAAACCTCTATACTAGACCAGAAGTCAACAACACAGAGCCTTCGGGCCTGTTCTAAAAATGGCTGAAAGGCGATGGGGCATCGTGATTTCCTAAGAATTATGTAGAAGTGCTCATTTGAAATAGCTGATTGTGACAAAGAGGTGAGCAGCGAATTTTGATGACTCAAAAACATGAAACACTTCACTTCTCATGCTCAGAGCCACGCAACACCTTGTGATGGTACACAAGCGCTCTCTACTGGCTCAAACGTATAACTGCAGTCAGTCTGCATTTTTGATGAAAGCTCGTCTCGTTTGTTAAGATCTTGCCGTGTTCCCACCTGAGGGTTGAACTGGCCGGGGAAGTGCTGAGTCATCCTCATGCTTCCAGAGTTGGGCTGAAACTGCTTCTGGTACAACATGCTGTTCAACTTAGCCGACTGGCTGCTGGGGGAGGTGGAGCTTGCCCTGGATGGAGAATTAAACATCGTTACAACACCAACTCCTAGATCAG